TTATCTCTAGCCACAGAAAGCAGACCAGTGGTTGCTTAGCAATGGGGGGGGGGGGGGGGGGGGGGGGGGGGCAGGAGGGAGAGGTCCCAAAGGGACATGAGGAAAATTTGGGGAGTAATGGAGACATTTACCATCTTGGCTGTGGTGATGGCTTCACAGGTGCACACGCATGTCAAAACGCATTGAACTGTGCACTTTAAATATATGTAGTTTATTAAATGTCAATTATACCTCGACTAAGCAGTTTAAAAAATAAAAGCATGCATGGCAAGCACAAATACAAACAAAAAAGCAACCCAAGCACAAACAAAAATGCCCTCTCAAGGCTCCCCAAATAGCCCATGAGGACTTCCAAAACCCGGCCCCCTCCCTCTGGCATCGTCTCCCACCTTCCTTCTCTGTCCGCTCCAGCCCGCCCCTCGCCTGCAATGCCTCTTTCCCCAGGGGTTTGCTCAAAGGTCACCTTCCCAGCAAGGCTTTTCCTGCTCAACCTCTCTAAAGCCACAAGCCACTCCCATCCTTATCCCGCCTTTTCCTTTTCCTGACTTTGGCCCCCACTCCCCTACATGCCGTGTCATCTGCCCACTGAAATGCAAGCTCCACAAGAGCAGGGATGTCTGTCACCCCTGCTGCATTCCAGCATTAGATGAAGGACTGAAGGAAGGAATGATGAAGAGATAGCAGAGGCTGCTGTCAGCTAACTCCTAGCATGTCACAGGGAGGCCCTGTGAGCTGCAAGCCTTGGCTTCTCTCTACACCACCAGCTCCCCACACAGAGGTCCTTGTCACCTTCACCCTTAACACCTCCAAACTGAGCCAATCTACACTCCACCCATTAGCTAGAGGGATCTTTCCAAAATATAAAAATGACCTGTCACCATTTGCAGGGTAGAGTCCAGTCTCCAAGGTGTGGCTCCCCAGGCCATCTGTGCACAGCCTCGACACCTTCCTGTGCTTCTGCACACCTCTGTGCACTTGCACATGTCACTTCCTCTGCCCGGAACATCCTCTCCCTCTTGGCTTCCTGGTTATCTCCTACTCATCTCTTACGACATCATTCAAGTATTTCCTTTGTCAGAATAGGGATTTAAAACCCAAATCTTTGAAGCCATAAGAAACTGGGTTTAAATTTTAACTTGCTGGTTGTGATGGTTCAATGTGTTAACTTGGCTAATCTACAGGGCCCCGTTGCTTGGTCAAACACTAGTCTAGATGTGGCTGCAAAGGTGTTCTGTAGCTGTGACGAACATCTACGATGAGCTGACTTCAAGTAAGGGGGACACTTTTGACAATATGTGTGGGCCTTGTCCAATCTGCTGAAGACCGTAAGGAGAAAAACTGAGGTTTCTTGGAGAAGGAATTCTGCCTCAAGAGTGTAACAAAGAAATCCTGCCTGAGTTTCCAGCCTGCTGGCCTGCCCTACAGATTTTAGACTTGCCAGCCCCAATAATCACATGAGCCAATTCCTTAAGATGAGTCATCTATGAGGGCATTTCAAAATGCTCATGGAAAAACAGGATTGAAAGGCAAATCTTTCCATGAACTTTTCAAAGTACCCTCTTACATAAAAAAAATAAATCAATATTATATATATATGTTAAATCTCGTATATATGAATATACTGTATACATGCTATTGGTTCTGTTTTTCTGGCCAATACACTGGTTATTAACTTTATGACCCCTAACCTCACAGTGCCTCAGTTTTCTCATCTGTGCTAATAGTACCCATTGCACAAGGTGGTTGGGAGATTAAAGGAGATGACACATAAAACCCCCAGGCTAGTGCCTGGCATATGTGAGCACTCAATAAATAGTACCCAATACTAGGAGTCCTCTGGTGGCTCCTAGGTCATCCTCAACTGCAACAGTCCCAGTCCTGTGTTATTGCTGGCCATGCACAGATTTACTCTCCTCCTCCAGAGGGTGAATTCATTAAGAGCAAGGACTGTAGGGTATTGATCTTTGGATACCCTATAATCTCTAACACATACTAGGTGCTCAATAAATATTCGCTGGGGCCGACCCCGTGGCGCACTCGGGAGACTGTGGCGCTGGGAGTGCAGCGGCGCTCCCACTGCGGGTTCAGATCCTATATAGGGATGGCTGGTGCACTCACTGGCTGAGCGCGGTGTGGATGACAGACACCAAGCCAAGGGTTGCGATCCCCTTACCAGTCACAAAAACGCAAAATAAATAAATAAATATTCGCTGGCTAACCGAGTGAATGATTACCCACTAACACCTCTACATGGGCATTATTTGCAAGGAAATCTTGTAGCCCAGAGTCAAACACAGTCTCTTCTGCTCCCATCACCTTACCCCAAAACACCACCCTATTTTTCCATTGCCTCCCAAATCAGGAAGAGGGAGTCCTCCACTTGCCTGCCCTTTCACTCCCTGGCCAGCGTACCCAAAGGATTCAGAGTGGGTATGCTGGCCAGTATCCAGGGCTTCCCCTGCCACTGTGCTGGGAATGACATCCTCTGCAGAACAGCCACCTCACCACCTGGAACGTACTCAGCACGCCCCGGACACACAGCCAAATGAGGAAGGAGAAGGTTTAATCTCCCATCCTTCCAGGCCCAGTTCAGTTGCCAACTCCTCCACAAAGCCTCCCTTGATCTTCCCAGCTAGAAGTGACCGCCTCCCTCCTCTGCGCACCCCAGCCATCCCACTCAGCTCTTTTAGTGATGGGCCCCTGGGTCCCCTCAGCCCTGCAGTGTTGGAGGTCAGTGCGTTTCTGCTGACTCACTTGGCCAGTCTTAGTAGCATGTATACCTGGCATCAGAGACCCTGGAATTCATTGGTGATGTTTTCAGTAATCACTTGCAAGGTACCTACTATATGCCTGATTCTATGTCAGGCGCTGGGCAGACAGACAAGGGACACGGTAGACCAAGCCCAAGGCCAGGCTTCATGGAAGAGAGGACAGTATGCCCAGGGCTAAAGCTCAAGGTAGAGTTTGCCAGAGGACAGGGAAGGGAGAGGCAGAGAGAGCTTTCCAGACTGAAGACCCAGCCCACCCCTGAGACCCAGACCCACCCCTAAGGCAGGAGGTCACAAAATGGCAGGGGATATTCCTAATCGTTTGCAAACAGGAAACAAAGTCAGGGAACTCTAAGTTCCCTGAAGGGATGACACATCAATAGTATACGAGAAGAACAAAATCCATCCCTTTAACTGGCGCCGTCTTTTTTCATCTATACAGGGTGAGGAGCTCAATACAGCTGGAATAGATGGGCATAGACGGGGTGGGGGGTGACAGTGACTGTGAAGAATAAAGTCAGCAGGTTCCCTAGTCAATAAAACTTCTTTCCTGAGCCCTGAACGTGTGACATGACACCAAGCCAAGGGTTGCGATCCCCTTACCAGTCACAAAAACGCAAAATAAATAAATAAATAAATATTCGCTGGCTAACCGAGTGAATGATTACCCACTAACACCTCTACATGGGCATTATTTGCAAGGAAATCTGCTAGCCCAGAGTCAAACACAGTCTCTTCTGCTCCCATCACCCTACCCCAAAACACCACCCTATTTTTCCAATGCCTCCCAAATCAGGAAAAGGGAGTCCTCCACTTGCCTGCCCTTTCACTCCCTGGCCAGCGTACCCAAAGGATTCAGAGTGGGTATGCTGGCCAGTATCCAGGGCTTCCCCTGCCACTGTGCTGGGAATGACACCCTCTGCAGAACAGCCACCTCACCACCTGGAACGTACTCAGCACACCCAGGACACACACAGCCAAATGAGGAAGGAGAAGGTTTAATCTCCCATCCTTCCAGGCCCAGCTCAGTTGCCAACTCCTCCACAAAGCTTCCCTTGATCTTCCCAGCTAGAAGTGACCACCTCCGTCCTCTGCACACCCCCAGCCATCCCACTCAGCTCTTTTAGTGATGGGCCCCTGGGTCCCCTCAGCCCTGCAGTGTTGGAGGTCAGTGCATTTCTGCTGACTCACTTGGCCAGTCTTAGTAGCATGTATACCTGGCATCAGAGATCCTGGAATTCATTGGTGATGTTTTCAGTAATCACTTGCAAGGTACCTACTATATGCCTGATTCTATGTCAGGCGCTGGGCAGACAGACAAGGGACACAGTAAACCAGCCCAAGGCCAGGCTTCATGGAAGAGAGGACAGTATGCCCAGTGCTAAAGCTCGAAGTAGAGTTTGCCAGAGGACAGGGTAGGGAGAGGCAGAGAGAGCTTTCCAGACTGAAGACCCAGTCCACCTGGGCTAAGGCTGGAGGTCACAAAATGGCAAGGGATATTCCTAATCGTTTGCAAACAGGAAACAAAGTCAGGGAACTCTAAGTTCCCTGAAGGGATGACACATCAATAGTATACGAGAAGAGCAAAATCCATCCCTTTAACTGGCCCCGTCTTTTTTCATCTATACAGGGTGAGGAGCTCAATACAGCTGGAATAGATGGGCATAGACGGGGTGGGGGGTGACAGTGACTGTGAAGGATCATGAAGGGCCCGATAATAAAGTCAGCAGGTTCCCTAGTCAATAAAACTTCTTTCCTGAGCCCTGAACGTGTGACATCCAGTGGTCTAGTAAACTCTGTTTCCTGAAAATCATTCCGGTGGAGAGGTTGCTGGGCCCAAGGAGCATCAGTGTAGCAAAGACAAGGGCGATCACATCTCCTGGGGTCACCACTCCTGGGAAGGCTGGGGAGGGTGGGGAGGGACGAAGAGGTAAAGGAAGGAGCTAAGAGAAAAACAGCTAATAGCAGAGAGGGCAAGTGGCCCGGCCTGCTCGGTGGAGGTCTGCCCAGAGGCCTTCTAGGGTTTCCTGCAGGAAAGCCTTGTCTGACCCCCGCACCTCACCTCGCAGCTCCCCTTCACTCATACTTTATGTCTGGGGCGTGCAGGAAGCATTTAAAAAGTGTCTGGAAGATTTGGCCTGGGGGCTGTAATTCACTGACCCCCGGCCTACGCCAATCATGGCCACCCCAGTCCCCCCACCAGGTATTCATGTGAACACCCAGCCAGTGAGATGTGAGAGGAACTTCACCGGGAGATTTCTGGGGAACATCTTACTTGCTCGTAAAAAAAAAGAGAAACGTGAAGAAGAGATGGCTGCCTCATCTGCTGCACTGTGTTCTGTTGGGATACGGTGATCGGATCCCGTCTTGGGACCACGAGGAGAGTACCCAACACTGAGGGTGGCAGAAGAAAGTGGGGGACAGAACTTGGCCCACTGGGCAGCTGAGTCAACCAGGCCTGGTGCTTCTTCACCCCAAGACTTCTTATCACGGCAATAACAGATCTTCCTCATTACTAAAGCTGTTTGAATTTGGAGCAAGAGGTGGGGAGATAAGCAGCTGGGAACCAACCCTCAGCCAAAGTCAAATCAAACGCCAGGACCCCGGGGCTGTGATTGTGTAAATGAATTATATATCTTGTGTAATGTGGGGACGTGTGACAAGCAAGCAGAGAGAGACCTACCTAAAGCTCTCAGACATTCACCACAGCAGATGAGAAACAAGAGGGTTTCCAAGGGACCTGCTGGGGGCCTGTTTCCTAGGACAGTCTAGTCAAAGCTGCCTCCCATTTCTTTTTTTTTTTGTGTGTGTGTGTGTGTGTCTGACAACGGATCGCAACCCTCAGTGTCGCGCCCGTACCGGACCGGGACCGGCAACGGGATCGCAACCCTCGGTGCTGCGCCCACTCCTCACTCAGCCAGTGAGCAGGAACCAGTCTGTATGTGGGATCCGAACCCTTGGCGGGAGCGCCACCGCACTCTCAAGCGGCGCACTGTAGCAGTGCACCACCGGGCCGGTCCCATGCCTCCCATTTCTTCCTGGGTGCAGGTCCCTTACCGTTCTTTTGAGCCAAGGCCTGGTCAATGAAGTCTGCAGCCCTTTCAAAGTATGCGCTGAGGTTGAACTCCTGCGTGTCATTGGCCTTGATGCCCAGGTAGGTGATGCCGGAGTCCTTGTAGAAGTTGGCATTCGTGTTGACGTGCATGAAGGACCTGCCCTCGGCGGCATTCAGTACATGGGTGATGCCCAGTTTCTGCAGCTTGGGGATGTCCTGAGCCACAGACCTGAACAAGAACCAGTGGTAGGGAATGATAAACTGACAAACTGGCAGCAGGGAGAGAAGATGGGGAGGAATCTAAGCCTCTTGGCAAAGCAAGCAACCCCTCCATGCTCTGGCCCCTCCTGGTTTCTCCGGGCCTCACCTTGTGACCTCTCCTCCAACTCCAGCCATATCTAATTACCAGCAGTTTCCCCAAATAGACTGGTGGTTTCACACCCATGCTGTCCCCTCTGCCTGGAACGCCCTTCACCGCCTTCTCTGCAGACAGCACCCTCTCATCTTTTACCACCCTCTGCAATATTTCCTCATTTCCCCTCCACTCCATTTGGCATTTTGCTCCCTCTACTGTGGTGATGCTACAGACAAGTTGTTACAAATGGGCTCCAGAGCCAGACTGCCTCGGTCTGAATCCAGCCCAGCCACTTACCAACCAGGCAACCATTAGCAAGTCACTCAACTTTTCTGTGCCTCAATTTCCCTTTCTGTAAAATGGGGCTGACAACAGTGCCCACTCCCTGGGGTTGTCATGAGTGTTAAAAGAGGTATTCTGTGGATGGAGCCTGGCACCATAATGGTAAGTGCTACTATTCTAACACTCGATTGTTCTTTGTTAGATGTCCAGGCTGCTCCTTCAGGGTAGAACCACGTCTCCTTCAGGTCTGTTTCCCCAGCACCTGCTATGGTACCTGGTACCATATGATGCTGCATAAATACGTGCTGAATGAGTGGAGAATGAAATCATCAAATGCAAGGCAGCCCCCTCCGAGCCCCCCAGAGGGGCCCTTCCTACCACACTTCACTAGCCACATTTCTGAAGCTCTCTTGCATGAGTGAACACCCGGGGAGTAAGTGGCCCCGACAGAACCATGGGAATTACAGAACACTTGATCTGAATGGTAAAAGGGCCCCTTTATTTCATCTCACAACAACATCCCAGTTCAAACAGCAGTCTGCACGTCTCCTACACAATCTCGTTTGCCCATGATGGCAGCCCCATGAGAAGGAAGGATGGCACTATCCCCACTCCACAGAGCTTCAACTCTGGCCTGACAGGACAGGTGAAGGGTTGCGCACATGCTCACGTGACTGCTCATCAGGAGCTGGGAGGAGACCTCCTATCTCCTGACATCCAGCCCTGCTCTGGCTTCCACTCACTGTGCCTCTCAGGCCCACATCAACTGCAAAACCCTGAGACCTGGAAAACGTGGCTCACGCAGGCTCCATTTCTGCCTTATGAGGACATGGCTGGTGCCCTAATTTTGTTACAGGGCTCCTGAAGGGTGGGGAAACCCATATCTTCTTGGCACTAGGTGCTCAGATGATCCTCCCTGTTGAGCAGCCCCTAAGTCCCTGGCCAAGTCAGAGTCAGATTTGCTTAGAGGGCAAGGGACGTGTTTTCTATGGTGGCCATCAGCACTTGCCACTGTGGCTACCACCAGGCATTCACAACCTCAGTTTCCACTTGGAAAGTGGTGACAACTGAATGTGCAAAAGTGCCCAAGCAAGGAGGGTTCCGGAGGCTACCAAGGCCTGCACACTGCTTGGATAGCTGGGGAGGTGGAAGGGGTATCCCCTGTACTTTGCAATTACTGGGGCGTTTGGCTGAGACTGTGGCACTCCATTTTAGTTATTCCCACTCACAACACTGCACAAGACTGTAAAGCAGTGGCTGATAGGACACTTTGCAGGGCCACTCCCATTTACCTCCTTTCTAATACTAATACGACATTCAACAAATTTGCCATTATTATTACTGTCACTATTATGAATGAATGTTGTACAGCGCCTGTCACACAGTAGGTGCTTAATCTGGTGAATGAATGATGGAATGGGGATCTGCCCGCATGAGGCTAGGACCTGCCTTAGGGACCCCTTCTAGCTCCATGATGACCCCCACTTCTGTGGCAGTCCTTGGCAGGTTAAGCAGCAGGTCCTATCCTAGAGGAGGACGGGGGGATAGAGACATGAACAGGACACTGACTCTGTCCTCTCTGCCCTGGGCCATCATTTCCTCCTGTGTAAAATGAGAGGAAGGGTTAGTTCCTGGTTTTCAACATGTGGTCCCCGGACTGGGCCACTGAGCTTAGGACTTTGGTAACTGGGTCCTCAGAGTGTCATGAAAATCCAACTGGAGCCTTACCAAGCATGTACAGGCACACTGACCTATTCTTTCTTTTGGCTGGTGTTTCAGCACCTCTCAGAATGGTTAACACTGGTTCTCTTCCGCTGCTGAGAATTCTTACCAGGAGTTTGACTAATAGCGAATGGGAAAGTCAATTTGGTAAGAGGAACTAGTAAGTGCTAAATAATAAAGGCATTTCCTGGCAGTGAGAGGTAGGGAGGCTTTTCTAGGTGACGGCTCAGGTCCCTAGGGCGCTTATCGTTGGATGGTTCTAAAGTCCCACGTAAATCAAACCCCGTCTAGAAGGCAGAAGAAGGGGCCAGGAAAACAGGACCCCCCCTCTCTGGACTCCCTCTTTTAGGGTCTTCCGATTCCCTGATCTGGGCCTGCCGGGGCCGGGAAAGTTCCACGCCCGACTTCTGACGTCAGCCCGTTGCCATGGCAGCGAAGGCAGACATTCCGCGGTGACCTCACTGCAGAACCAGGCAGCTGTCACATGACACGCGGCCAGGAGACAGGCCGGGTGACCGAGGGCCACCTGTTAGGTGAACACGGTAGCCCCGACCCCTCCCAAGGCCCAGCCCGAAGCGGGTGGCGGCCGAGGGCCGGGCGCTCCCGGGCTCAGTGCTCCCCGCGACCCGGAAGGAGCGCGCGGGG